TCCCAAGCGTGTTCCCTGTGGAACACCTGCATTTGTCACCACTGGTTCCGAAAGTTTGCCACGGTATCTCACTTGCTAACGTGACATGAAAAAACCTAGTTCCTGGTAATGAGAATTCTCTTAATTTGTATGACTATCTGATGTTCAATTATTGTCTGGTAGTAAGTGCTGAATCTATTTATGCTCATGTCATTAATAACCTTAGGTTGCGTGGCAAAGTTTTTTCATAATCACCATATTTCACATCTTGTAACAGTTGTTATGCATGCATGGTGTCCACCATGCAACACACGTTCCATTTGGTGCTTCTGCATGATGAATGCACATTATATGAACAACTTTGACAATTCCCAGTTTATTTCTTGGAAGAACTCCATGGATCAAATCAAATAAAAAAAGATGAAGCTTAAAATGTTATAGTTAAAAAAATCAGCACATGTTTTAAAATTCTAAAAAATTGTTGGTGTCCACCCATAACATGCGTTACCGTATATGAAAAATACAAAATACAATTTTGTTAAGAAAACTTCATTTATAATCGTTCTAATCTTTCACAAGAAAGGCTTTCTACATTGTGTATATAAAATTCATTGAATTGTTCAATTTTGAATCAATAGATATTTTTAAAAAAATTATGAAACTTTGGTGTCCACCCTAGAGGGCTGGGTTTACCAGTTTAACCTCGAGTTCGCCACGAGCTCCCCAGTTTAACCCGAGCTCGCCACGAACTCCCCCTTTTACCCACGAGCTCGCCACGAGCTCCCCCTTTTACCCACGAGCTCGCCACGAGCTCCCCAGTTTACCCCCGAGCTCCCCAGTTTATGCCCGAGCTCGCCACGAGCTCCCCATTTTACCAACGAGCTCGTCACGAACTCCCCCTTTTACCCACGAGCTCGCCACGAGCTCCCCCTTTTCCCCACGAACTCGCCACGAGCTCCACCTTTTACCAACGAGCTCGTCACGAGCTCGCCACGAGCTCCCCCTTTTACCCACGAGCTCGCCACGAGCTGCCCAGTTTACCCGCGAGTTCGCCACGAGCTCGTGACGAACTCGTTCACAAGCTCGTGAAGATTTTGTAAGATCGTTACTAGCGTCCTGGAAGCGTGTACGAGCTTAAAGCCTAAAAAACGATCTTATTAAGCTTACCACGAGCATAATACGAGTTCGCGACGAACTTAAATTTGTATAGGGGTTACATGTACTGTTATATGAAGGTTATAAATATGCATGTGTATGTCCATGGATCTATCTCTAGGGTTGACTGGCTGCATGTGTCTGAAGGTTCGTAAGGTCATTACTATCCCTAGAGCATCCAAGCAGGGAGTAAAAATAGAGACAGGAATCGTCTGAGACCATGCTGAGGGAGAAGGAGGACGTCAAAAGCCAAAGGAAAGGAAGGGAGCTCGCCACTAGTTTTACAGTTCAGAGAATAATTTAAAGGGACAGGAGCACGCAAAATACGTCACTGAGTTGTTAATATGTGTTTGATTGATCGCAACTTCCAAATTTCATAACTTTCTTATTTTTAATCGGATATTGCGTAAACTTTCACTGATTAGTTTCTCTCATTTTCTCAGATTGACATCAGCCTTATAGTGGACTTCCCCTTAAACTGCACGAAGCTACCGGTACATGTATACTGTTTTCACACTGGCAATATTTTGCTTAACCCCGTACTATAGGTGGGGTTAAGGGGGGGTCTTAGCCCCACCTATAGTACGGGGTTAAGCCTTTTCCACTTTCTGTTCAGACTGGTTTTTACCAAAGTGGGCTAAAGTTGGCTAACCCCACCTTATAGTACGGGGTTAACTAACCCTGCTAAATAGCAGGGCTAACTCCGCAATTGTGGTGCTAACTCCTGCTAACCCCGCAATTGCTGTGCTAAGCAAATGAATGAGAACAGAAACGAAAAATAGTCCGGTACTACGCAATGGAGCGTATCACAGCTGGCCAGATGCGAAGTATGTCCAATCATAACATTAACGATATCCGGGGTTAACGAAATGCAGTGAGAACAGCGGGGATTTTCTTATTCTGGAATAGGCGCTAGTACGGGACTAAAAACAGCGGGTGTGAAAAGCCAAAAAAATAGTCCGGGGTTAAGGATAGTACGGGGCTAAGCAAAGTACGGGGTTAAGCAAAACCAGTGTGAAAAGAGTAGTAGTCTGCTAGTATACAGATACAATGAAAACTTTCTCTTTTTCTGTTTGACTTTGTTGATTAACATTTCTAAAGTTTCCACGAACAAGGCTTTAAAAGGTCACCTTTTAGAACTGGTTCAAGAGGGTTTGGGGGTCCCCTCACCTTTAGTGACAGCCCCATGTTAAATACTTGCCTTTTATTAAATCAAGGCGATAGGAGAGAGAGAGAGAGAGAGAGAGAGAGAGAGAGAGAGAGAGAGAGAGAAAATGAAAAAGGTTGTTTAGAGGTTCTAATGGAAACACGTTCATGATATATTAAAGTATCTCCTTGGTCATACGTAGATAGTCATACAGAGAGAAAATAGCAAGGCAAAATTTTTGAAAGCTAACCAAATAAACCTTTATTCATTTTTTTGCCCCTCAAATACCTTTGAAAGTATCACTTTCTATATCTTTCACCCCAAATATCTGATGCATTAATCTTTCTCAATTCTCTGTTTATCAGCAACTTTCGGCGTGCATGAAATTTCAAAGAATTTAGTTTCACCATTACGTCTATGGTTTCACCGAGGGTGGATACCCGTTCCTTCCTGCAATGCTTCTTATGTATCGCATAGCAAGCATTACAGCATTCCATTCAATCCAACAGTAAATGGCTGGAATTCCTGGCTTAAAGATAAAATGGAGTTTTGGTCATGTGATGAGATTGTGAAAGAAACTGGAAATGAATTTGAAAGGTAGATTATGTACACATGTAGGAATTGGTGGATCGAGGCCCTTTATGTTTTGGAATCATCAACTGATGAGAAATCGACACAATCTTGATGAAAAACACACAGACTGCATACATAAAGGATTATATGGGACTACACACACATGTGGGACTGTTTGGTCCAAACAATTCATCTACATGTATTTCTTGCCATGTTCTTAATATGAGGGCATTCAAAGAGAAATCCTCTTTAGGGGACATTTCTATTATGAGTTGTTTCCAAAATAATACAAAAAGAACAAGAAACTCAAGAGAAAGTTCTCAAATTATGTGTGACCTTTGCCGGAACCCGACCTTCTCTTTAACGTTGCGCAAACCACCCCTGCACTCCGTTCACCGGCCAGGTTTGGGATTGAGTTCGACAGCAAGTGGAAGAGCGCACACCGGGCTCGGGGGAGGGTGTTTTTCTAAAATTGGAAGTGAACTTCAAGCACCTCAGCATGTACCCCGGGGGTCAGGACTCTGTGCATGCTATGGAGGAAAAATATGTTCTGAATTAGGACGACTTCTTCCTTGCTGTTTACGTGCGAAAGCTCATGAAATCGTACACTGTATGTTTGCAGTCAGTGGGTGGGCAAAGAAATAATCTTGATACGATTGAGAACTTCATTACATGAAAGTTTACTATTGTGTACTATTGTGTAGTCTATGAATATAAGTATAAGATTGGCACAAGTTTACATGAGAAATAGCTAGTCTTTGAAAGAACAGGAGAAAACAGTTCACTGAGAGAGCCAGAGAGATTGCCCAACATTTGCTCCTGGGACAATCGCTCCACGTCCATTTCCTACACCAACTGAATATGTAACTTTAACCCTGGACCCAACAATTCACCTAACCCTAAACTAAAAGGCAATTGTAAGCCTAACCATTGTAGGACTACATGTAGTCAAATGTAAATCATCCCTGATGGTAGTAGCAATGTTTTTAGAGCTCATTAAGCACCCCTAGTCAGTATTTTGTCTACCAATAAACATCAATTACTCCTGTCAAGGAAACATGCAATCATGCAATTAGGAGCTGATAACCCGGCACATTAACTGCAGAGTCCCTCGTTAATTCATCAACTAACTTGAGCCATATGATGGCTCGACCAGTTCACATTGACAAGTTATAGGTCTATAGTACCTCTATTAATTACTCAGCAAGACACTGCAGTCTATTAGTATTGCATCAATACATGTAGCTTGACCCAAAGGCAAGTGTGTTCACATGCACTGTTTATGCAAAAGAAATGCAAACTATTAGCTAACTACATAATGTATGTAGTACTTTTGACCATACCAATATCTACTAGCATCTAACTTGTTCCTAAGTTATTACCATCTCCTTAACAGAGATGTAGGCAAATGCTGCTCAAGTTTGATGTCTCAACATTAGTATTTAATATCTTTAGATTTGACCAACCTGGCAACTATGAATCTGAATTCTGGCAAGTTGTTTTCTATCATCATCTTCTTCACAGAGATGCCATCCAGATTGTGCTCAAGTTTGATGCCTCATGGACAGTGCCTGACAACAGAGAGAGAAATTACCCCTTCTTTCATAGATTCACCAGGACCTTCTCAGTTCTCACTGTTGACCATGCATGGTGTCAAGCTATAGACCACACCCGGCAAACATGATTCTAAACCATCTAACCTTTTTATTTTGACTATAATCTTTCCTACAGAGATGCTGTCCAAACGCTTCTCAATTTTGCCTCACCGGTCACCAAAAGTATCTTGTATCCTACATTCCGTTTTTTAAAATATACCGGTAGTGCTCAATACATCAACGATGTCCCTATAAAGCGCTTTGCTGATATATTATTGCCCCAGTCATCGAATTCAGGCTTGTCTGCACAATGTATGCATATTCTTCACTCCCTGTGGAGCATTCTAGTAACACATATTCTGATTGTCAGTGTTTATCCAGTCTCTTTATCTTTATTTTCTTTTATACAGAGATGCCGTCCAAATGCTGCTTAACTTTGCCTCACCGGTCACCCTCATTATCTTGTATCCTACATTATTGATGTTCCTAACAACACATATTCCTAGTGTTAGTGTTTAACCAGTCTCTTAATCTTTATCTCCTTTATACAGAGATGCCGTCCAAATGCTGCTCAAGTTTGAAGCCTCACCGACAGTGCCTGATAACCGAGGAAGCAACCCCCTTCATCTAGCCGCCTGGACCGGTAACCAGGAGATCGTTCAGACCCTTCTCACCGTTGGCGTCAGCAAAGACCAAGTCAATGAACAGGTATTGCAGCATGGGCCACACCTCACAGATAACAGTAATGATAAGTAATAATAATAGTGGTTACTTGATAAATCCATTGAAGTGGTAGTGGTGGTCATTTTACTGCTAAGAAAGCATAAATGCTTGTTAGTAAGCAACCAGAGGACCGAGGAATTTAGGTCCTGGAACCCGGGTCGCAGGATTACGACACCACTGCTCTACCAACTGAACTGATATGTGCTCCGGCAAATTTACTGCAGGTGAAATTTGTCAACGATGCAGGGTGAGGGTAGGGATTTGGCTAAGCTAGGGTAGCATAAATATTATTTGTGCATGCACTGGCCTATTAACCAAACAACAGAGCAATTATCGCCAAAGCATACACGTGTCACAGAACACTGCACACATGGTATTTCAGCCATACATGATAACCATATTATTATCCCAATCATATTTCAATCATGAAAAACGAAACGCTGTCGACTTCATTTAGGAACCAACGGGCATTCACCCTTTCCACTGAGGTATGGGTTGGTTGTTTATGCCAGGGCGGACTCATACAGGGTAAAGAACAAGTGCTCCAATGGCGAAATGATAACAAACTAAAAAGAAGAGGACAAAGGGAGAGTGATCATGGCGCAAAAGTCTTTCAGTCCTCGTACGATGGAAAATGATGATGATAATGATGAGGGTGATGGTGATGGTGATGGTGCTGGTGATGATGATGGTGCTGGTGATGGTGCTGGTGATGGTGATGGTGCTGGTGATGGTGCTGGTGATGGTGATGATGATGGTGATGGTGATGGTGATGATGAGGGTGATGGTGATGGTGATGGTGATGGTGCTGGTGATGGTGCTGGTGCTGGTGATGGTGCTGGTGATGGTGCTGGTGCTGGTGATGGTGCTGGTGATGGTGATGGTGATGGTGATGGTGCTGGTGCTGGTGCTGGTGCTGGTGATGGTGCTGGTGCTGGTGATGGTGCTGGTGCTGGTGCTGGTGCTGGTGCTGGTGCTGGTGCTGGTGCTGGTGATGGTGCTGGTGATGGTGCTGGTGATGGTGCTGGTGCTGGTGCTGGTGCTGGTGCTGGTGCTGGTGCTGGTGCTGGTGCTGGTGCTGGTGCTGGTGCTGGTGCTGGTGCTGGTGCTGGTGCTGGTGATGGTGATGCATACATGCCAACATTTGAAAATCAGAAATCTGTACACTATGTGCGCGAAGCGCACATCATGAGCCCGAAGTCCTTTTAGCCGGGGTCCAGGGCCCGCTTTAGGGCCCTGGAAGCTCTGGGTTTCCAGATGCCCTCTGGTGCAATCTGAGCCTATTTTAGGGACCATTTCCCCTAAAATTCAACCCAAGTTTATGGGTAATTTTTGTGTCATACCAAACAAAAAAGTGATTGAAGTGAACTCCACATTTTAATTTATCCTTGGCAGAGGCAGAGCAGATAATAGACATAGATTTAATTAGCCACTCATGCAGAGTGATGCATTTAAGTCTAGTTACTTTTTAAATAATTATACATGACATAGATCTATGCATAAAATGAGACTGGCAATAATGGTATTCAACTTTCCAGACAACAGTCAACAATCCAAAATTATTGTAACTCATTGAGCTACATCTATACGAGGTTGTCAAAATCAATGTCAGCAGAACAAGACATCTGTTGAAAAAAATATAATTATTTCTTCATGAAAGGAAGGAGCATTTGGCTTTAGGCACCACATACTTTCAAGTTTCAAAACAATGAATTCAGTGCAGGTGTTAAACACCCCTGAAGCTTCTAAGTTTCTGCATGTTGTGAAACCCCATGATGCTTTTATTTTATGGGTATACTTAAAGTTAAATAATTTTACAAATACTTGTATTATAATGTAGTTGATGGATAACCCATATAGAATGGTATCAATGAACTGTTTTGCGCATATCTTACCGGTTAACACTGTTCAGTGTTAGTTTCAAGGTACCCTGTGACAGTAATTAAGTCATTCTGATTATTTGGAGGTAGAAGCTCCAGCATGAAGGGCCAAGTATGTAGACTTCTTTGCAGCCTGCAAGACATCATCACTGTATGTTGTGGTATAGCATTTCAGGTTTCTGTTCTGCATACTTAGTTTGTGTGTGAGAAGGGAGCTCATAGTTCTGGTGCTCATATTACCACGATGTTTAGTCTTGATCTTATCTACCATCGAGAAGACCCTCTCTGCATCACTGTTGCTGTGAAATACCACCAAAACACACTTCATCACTTGGGAGAGCAGGGAATACTTTCTCTGGTATCTTGACAGTTCCATCATCTGCCCAATTACATGCCACTTCTGGTCAATTCTTGTCACATCTTTGGTGCAGTCATCTATTGTTTCATGATCTATTTGATACAGATTGAACTCGTCCTGAAGTTGATCCATCTTGTCATCTGGTATTAAACTGAATCTGGAGGTGAAATATTCCACTGTAGTGAACTTGGCTGTGCTTCTTTGAGAAATGTCAAGCACCTCTGCATTCACAAGGAGCTCCTCATTGAAAGGATAGTTGTGAATCATGTAGCTTGCTGCAGCAATGTAGAAATTCTTCACACCTTGGAAAAATGTCTTCAAATCCAAGGAGGCCTCATTCTCTTTCAAGAACTGTCTGCATTCAAACCCTATTTGAACCTCATCATTGCTCTTGTGGTGTGCTTCATTGGCTAGATCTATCTGGGTGATGTTTTTTGCTTGGCGAATTACATTAGGTTTCACAAATCTGGACAGAAGTCTAGACAGTTGACTTACAAGAATTCCATGCATGCGATGAATTAGTGGTTCGTCTCTCTGGAATAGCTGGGGATAGAGGAATAGGAAGACACATGTAGAGCTATTGATCATAGAGCCAAATAAACATTTGTATTACGCAATCAGATATATTGATATTTTAATGACATCAGTGACTCCACATAGGTAATTACAACTGAATACATTCTTGACAATAATCAAATTCAATGTTAAATTTTTATAGTACATTCATATTTCTGTAACAGGGATTCCAAATCAATGATTGATTACAACTGAAAACATTCCTATCAATAATCAAATTTGAAGTATTAAATTCTAATCATTAATCATATTCATGTTTTAATGACATCAGTGATTCTGAATCAACAATTACAACTGAAAACATTATAGTCACTAATCACATTCAATGCAAACAAATAATACTCTGCAGAAGAAATTGAAAATGAATTAATTAACCAAAAACATGAATGTACAAATATTTTCATTTAAAACAGAATAATAATCATACAAATATTACTCATCAAATTGAACTCCACATTCTTACTGCAATCAAATCCATCAGCTTTCCCCAAAAGTTGTAAATATCTACAGAATTGAAATGGAAATGAAATAAATGTTAGTACTGAACACATAACACAATAAAATCAAGGGTACATGCATCTTTGTAACACAAATAATGAAACTACTTTCAAGTAGAATAACACAACAATAAAATCAAGGGTACATGCATCTTTGGCTGCGTTCATGCTTAAATTTTGAAGGCAGAATGAGCGATCTGAAACGCTCATCGTAAACGCTCATCGTGATCGCAGTTCCACGATGCACTGTTCATGCTTACTTCTCTGGCTCCCCCAGGCAATTCTCAGTGTGTGGCCTTAATTGGTCTTCCAGCTGGATTCGCAAACCTTCACTGTGCATGCTACGTAGCGTAGACCCACTAGAGGTCAGTGCGTTGACCCCATTTAAACGCGTTTACAAATTGTAAACGCATCTTTTTGTGAGTTTACGATCGGCGATCGTGATCGCCGTTTTTCGGTGATTCTACAAAAGTGAGCTAAGACGCAAGCGTGTTTTAAACTAAACGCGTAACAGATGCCTGATTCTGGCCGTCAAAATCAAGCATGAACGCGCCCTGAGTATTAACACAAATAATGAAACTACTTTCAAGTAGAATAACACAACAATAAAATCAAGGGTACATGCATCTTTGTAACACAAATAATGAAACTACTTTCAAGTAGAATAACAACAATAAAATCAAGGGTACACACATCTTTGTAACACAAATAATGAAACTACTTTCAAGTAGAAAGATGTAAGATTAAATCAATGCATGGAACCAAATGTTTTAGTTTAAACCATGTAACATTTTAATTTAAATAAAAAATACAGTGTATTACCCACCTCATTGGTTTCTTCAAAGATGGGCAAACATGCTTTCAGGAATAGAGCTTCCAGCTTACAATTGGGGTCAATCAACTGTTCATACACAAGAGTAGGTTTGTTTTTCTTCAGAGGCTCCTTGGCTTTCTTACTCGAGCTTGATGAAGCACTCGACTGTCCCTTGTTAGCTTTGATTTTACCTCCATGTAGCTTTGGGGTTTGTGAGTGTTTTTTACTTAATTCTTGCTGACTGAAGAAATATTTGCTAAGATCACATTGTCTGTGAGCTGCACTAGATGTAGTATCAGTCTGTCCAGAGTTGCTACCTTGGTGAACATTTTTGCTGCTTGCACTTGGCGTGGAAGTCTGTGTAGCTTCACCCTTTGTAGAGCTTGCAGGCTTGATTTGTGCTGTTCTGCCACTTGTAGATGAGGTAGTGGTAGTCTTAGGGCGCGTTCATGCTTGATTTTGACGGCCAGAATCAGGCATCTGTTACGCGTTTAGTTTAAAACACGGTTGCGTCTTAGCTCACTTTTGTAGAATCACCGAAAAACGGCGATCACGATCGCCGATCGTAAACTCACAAAAAGATGCGTTTACAATTTGTAAACGCGTTTAAATGGGGTCAACGCACTGACCTCTAGTGGGTCTACGTAGCATGCACAGTGAAGGTTTGCGAATCCAGCTGGAAGACCAATTAAGGCCACACACTGAGAATTGCCTGGGGGAGCCAGAGAAGTAAGCATGAACACTACATCGTGGAACTGCGATCACGATGAGCGTTTACGATGAGCGTTTCAGATCGCTCATTCTGCCTTCAAAATTTAAGCATGAACGCAGCCTTAGTCTGTGTACATGGAGTTCCACCC